CCATCCCTACTAGGTTGGAGGCCATGGCTTCTTAGTTGGAGGCCATCCCTACTAAGTTGGAGGCCATCCCTACTAGGTTGGAGGCCATCGCTAGTAGGTTGGAGGCCCCCTTGGAGGCCATGGCTTCTAAGTTGGAGGCCATCCCTACTAGGTTGGAGGCCATGGCTTCTAAGTTGGAGGCCATCCCTACTAGGTTGGAGGCCACGGCTTCTTAGTTGGAGGCCATCCCTACTAAGTTGGAGGCCATCGCTGCTAGGTTGGAGGCCATCGCGCACTCAGGCCCAGGCCGCCCGGCGCGCGCGCGTCTCGGCAGTGGTGGGGCCCCACCCTGGTTCGGGGTGCCAACTGGGCCCTGTCACTTTTTCTGGCGCCATGGATGATGCTGACCTTGATAAAGGTCTCACTGGTATCCTTCAGGATTTCTCTTTGTGGGGAGACCACAACGCCTTCCTGCCAGACCGGCCGAGTCTCCTGGTTCAAGACCTGCAATTGAAGGTTCCCTCTGACCTTTTCACCTTTGAAGGAACTCACTTGGGGGGGAGTGGCGGAATTCAAGATGGATTCTGTATGGATTGCAGGTGACTCTCCTATGGCCCACAAGATTCAGCTGCTGTGGTCTGCGAGCACCAAGCCTGTTATGCATAACCTGGCCTTGCAAGGATTCATGGACAAGTGTTTGCTGTGGAACGTGGAGCTGCTGTATCCCCCTCGGAACCAAGGGGCAGATGTTTCAGTTGATGAGCGTACATGCATCCTACCACTGCGGAAAGGGAAGACAGGTCCCATACACGCTTTGCACCTGTTTGGAGGAGCCTGGGGAGGTTGGTCCTTCGCGGGCCAGATCCTTTCTGAAATGGGAGTGGAGGTTCTTTCAGGAGCGGTGGAGCTTGATTTTGCTGCATCGCTGGACTACTCATCCAGTTTGGTGAGTGCGTTGAGGGGGCTCACCGCTTGAGTGACCCTACCTGTGGGAGCATCGCCTTTACACTATGGCAGCAGGATTGGGATCCCGATGACTGGACAAGGATCCTAGAATCCACTACGCCTTTCATCAGTGCGGTCTTCACCGAGAGCGGATGCCCTGACCTTATCAAGTCCACTTGGGGGAGGTCTCTGAGAAACCGAAATCGAGCAGTCCACGCTGCGCAAGCTACGTCAGTCCAGCTGCACGGTAGCGTGGCCCCCGAGCACATCCCAAGGATACTCCAAGCGAGCGGATTCAATAGAGTTTTCTGCACGCCCAAGGGCTCGGATGGGAGGCAGGACCAGCAATATCGGGTGATTTGGACCGATGGGGACATCCCCCGCCTCACTTCGCTCTCCAAGCAGACTTCAGGATGCTTAGGCCTGGTGAAAGGCCGAGAAGGGATGGGATTGAGGTTTCGCCAAGATGATTTCTCTGCGGCTTGGCGCATCATTTGCCCCACGAAGGAAGCACCGCCAGACCTCAATGGTGCAGCATTGGTCAAAGTGCAGCCTTTGCCCTTCGGTACATCGAAGGAGCAGTTGACACAGTGCTGGGATGAACCGTGGGCTTATAAAGGTTAGTAGGCTGTATAAGTGCATTTATAACATACTTATATATATGGTATAAGTATGGTATAACATTGTATACTATAGTATAACTTCCATAACACTTAGCAACTTAAAATCATAAGTCCTAGAAACTTTACAACAACTTAACATCATTTATGTATAGTTTTATAAACATTTAGCATAGTTATAAGTAGTTAGTCTGATTTGGTTATAACTGGTTATGAGTAGTTATCTAAATACATATATGCACATATTTTTATGTGTTTTACAAACATAAATGAATGCTAATGCAACCAACATAGAAATAAAAAAACACAAATATTTGTATGCAACAAGTGATGACAGGGATTGATGATGTGGATGTTTTTTATTTCATAATGTTTTTTGTTTTTTGTGAGAGTTTATGTTTCTTTTGATTAACAAGGATGGGCTTTGTTATAGTGGGCTGCAGGTCCACGATGGTGTGGTGTTGAACTTTGTGTGTCATGTTCAAGCTGATTGGCTGTCATGAGTGCATACATACTATTTTTCATGTAGTTATACCAATCTAGAAC